TCTCTTTGCTTTCAAAATCTTTTTCTTTTTAAAGATTTTATTTATTTTTTAGAGAGGGGGAAGGGAGAGAGAAAGACAGGGAGAGAAACATCAATGTGAGAAATACATCGATCGGTTGCTTCTCACACGCTCCCAACTGCAGACCTGGCCCACAGCCTATGTGCCCTGACTGGGAATCAAACCAGCAACCCTTTGGTTAGCAGGCCGGTTCTCAAGCAATGGAGCCACACCAGCCAGGGCCCTCTCCCCCTTTTCTATAGCACTTTGTTCTTCTTTGATGAATATAACATCTCTGGCATATTAGACGATAGTATTTTGTTGTTTGCTTATTTTATTTGGCCTGCTCCGTCATTTCTGTTTCCTCTGATCTAGTCACTCTTGCTCTCTTGCTTTCTTTTCTGTTTGTTTGCTTCTATTATCTCTGCCTTTCATGGAAGAGGTTTTCACTAAATGTCTCGCAATCATTGGCTGGTTATTTATGTTTCGAGGGAAGCACTAGAGAGCTCATTGCAAGATCTGAATGACAAACACAACAGAAACAGAAACAGAAACAGCAACAGCAACAGATGCAAGTGAACACATTTACGGTTGCCAGATGGGAGGGGGCTGGGGGAATGGGTGAAAAAGGTGATGGGAGTAAGAAGTTACAAAATAGTCACAGGGATGTAAAGTACAGGTGGGTACTAGAATGATCAGGGAGCTCACTTCGTAGACTATGTAATTGTCTAACCACTATGCTCTACACCTAAAAAAAAATACATATTTTAATGCAAGGGCAAATTTGCTGACTCATGTATTTCACTCTGGACTGATCAGGCAGTAAGCTGACTTTTCAGTGTGTATAAGGCTTTTTCTCAAGGGTCTTTCCTTTTCTCCAGAGATGACTCATTCAGACTTGTGCTTGGAAGGAAGCTTTCTAGGGTCTGCACTATTTATTGTTCATTAAGCTTATTGGTGTTCTTTCTCCTGGATTTCAACATGGTGCCTCACCTTGCCCTCTGTTGGTGCCTGGTGCCCCATCAGGAGGCTCTCGTTCCACTTTTCCAGACTAAATCTGCCATCTCCTGCCACAGTAAGGGAAGGAGGACTCTCAAAGTAATGAAAAAAAAGAGAGGCATAGACTCTCGGCAGATAAGAGAGACATTTTTGCCTGTTTGCCCAATCCCCACTTCCTCCCTTCTTTCTGACTTCATTCTCCTTCTCTGAATGGCCTGGCAAGGGATTGGCTTAAGCATGAGCCCATGATACCGTTCTGGCCAATGAGAAGTGATGGGAAGTCAGCTGAGAGCTTCTGGAAGAGTTTATCTCACTCTTTAAAAAGGTTATAAGACAGTCATTTTCTCTTCTGCATCTGGATATTGTCAGGGGGGAATGTGATGCTTGGCCCTGCTTCCATTCTTTTTTCTTTTTCTTTTTTGAGTTGAGAGAGAGAGAAACATCAATGTATTTGTTCCACTTATTTATGCATTCACTGGTTGATTCTCTTATGTGCCCTGACCAGGACTGAACAGCAACCCTGGCCTATGGGATGACACTCTAACCAACTGAGCTACCCAGCCAGGGCTCCATTCTTTTTCCCCCATGAGGGTAAGGCCAAAGGAACTACAGACAAGATGACCTGATGCCACAGTCTCTTTGAACCTTTGGATTAACCATCCCGAAAACCAGTCTCCCTAAAGACTCCTCAAAATACGGAGTAATAAGCCCCCTGTACTGCTCAAAATATGGAGTAATAAGCCAGCTGTACTGTAAGTCATGAAATGTGGTCTGACACCGCCAGAAGCACAGCACCTGAGGTCCTATTAGAGACGCAGAATCTCAGGCCTCACCCCGGACACACTGAATCGGAATCTGAATTCTAACGAAATCTCCAAGGGATTGATATGCTCATTAGAATGTAAGAATGCTCCTTTAAGCTCTATTTAGCTATTTCCCTTCTTATTTGCAGGGGGACACATTTTAACTGACAGAGTGGCTGTAGCAAACACCTTTGAAGCCACGCGTCACACCTCTCGTGGCCCATTTTGATTTCAGCAAAAGCTTCTGTGATAGGCAGAATTCCAAAGCTGTCCCCATCCCCAAGATTCTGTCCTCTTATTCATTCAAACACTAGTCTAGTTACTGCTGCCCAGGGACTTGGCAGGTGGGGTCAAGGTTTTTAATCAAGTGTCCTTAAACTAGAGAAATTCTTCTAGAGTATCCAACCAGGCCTAATGTGTCATAGGAACTCTCAAAGCAGAAGGGGAAGATAGTAGAGATGACGCAGCAGAGGAAGAGGTCAGAGAGATTTGAAGTGTGAGAAAGACAGGAACCTGCTGTAGAGCCTTTGAAGATGAAAGAAGGGAGCCACAAGCCAAGAAATTCTGGCAGCCTCTGGAAGGTGAGAAAGACCTCCAGCTCACAGCCAGCAAGGAAAGGAGGACCTCAGTCCTACCATTGTATAGAACTGAATTCTACCAGTGCTCTGGCACAGGAATTCTTTCCTAAAGCCTCCACTAAGGAGTCCAGTCCCGCCAAAGCTTTGAATTTGGTTTTGTGAGACTCTAGGCAGAGAACCAGCTGAGACACCGTGTGCCCGCACTTTTGACGTAAAGAAACTGTGAGATAACACATTACTGGGCTGTTCTGAGCTGCTAACTTGGTGGCAGTTTGTTATGGCAGCACAGTTAGGGTGGACAGCTCTGTGCAAGCCTAGACTCACCTCTCCCCAGCAGCATCCCACATCAAACACACAATGTGTCTTTCCGTCTTTATGCCCCCACAGCCCCTTCTCCGATCTCCTGGGAGCCTATCTGGCACAAAGGAGACCGGAAGTGCGGGGAAGTGAACAGCCTTAGGGGAACCAGGCAGCCAGTGGAGGAAGGGCCAGTAGAATTGCTTTAACCTCGCACCTTTTAATTCTGAGAGGCCTTTGTGCCCTTCTCAGAAGCCTTGGTGGAACCGAGGCCCCATTATCTATAGCACATCAGTTTGGCTTTTCTTTTTTGTCTCATTCTCCATAATTCCTCACTCTTGGTTCCTAGGATTACTTCCGAAATGACTTCCCTGCTTCCAAGTTCCTTTCTCATCCTCTGCTTGAGATGGACAGGCAACCAAGGAAGCCTGCTCCTTGAGCTCTTCTTGCTTAGAATAAAAGGGTAATTTACTAGGAGATTATTTCAGTGTTTCCCACTGAAAGCAGGCTTCAAGGAACACTGAAGCCAGGGACTCCAACACCACCATGCTCCTCTCTGTCCCTTGTTTCTCCTCCTCTGGCGACATTACCTTCGGAGAGAAAGACTGAATCTATCCTCAGTATCAGAAAGAAGAATCCCAGAGAAGGGCTGTGATTGATGACCGTTGGGTCAGTGTCCATGACGGGTACAATGGGAAACAGGGCACTATCTCTGGGTCACCTTGGGTCAGGGTTTAGCCCTGGACTGAACAACTATGGCTGGTTTTGTGATACGAGGGGAGCGGCTTTGGAATACAGTCAGTGGCGGGGCAGCAGAGCAGTGAGGAGAAAGCCCCTCAGGTTCCTAATGACATTGCTGAACCATGGAATCCACGCACTCTGGCCTACCATGGGCCTCCTGCATTATGAGATGCTACGTTTCCACAGTGATTAAGCCAGTTCAATCAGCTCCGCTACTCAGAGCTCAAAGCATTCTACTTAATTCATATTGACTACCATGAATTCTCTCAAACTCACTTTCCTGGTCTCCAGACCTGCCCACATTTCCCAATCTCTCTCCTCCCCTTCCTGGGTTTCCTACAATTCATTTACTAAGAAACAAGAATCAGGTGCATACTATTATGCCAAGCCCTGCTTTAGACACTACAGAGTAGCTGATGAAACAGAGTTGCTGTCATCACGGACCAGCAAAGGAGGCAGACAATGAGCAAAACTATTTTCTGAATGAATAAAATTATGAGTAATGCAGAGTAGGAACTCAATCAACGCTGACTGAAAGAGTTATCTTTGTCTACAGTGTATCATACCAGAGTCTGGTTCAACAAACAGCCCTGGGACCTGCGAGGCAGACCCTGTTCTTGCAGCCCTAGGAATCTAAAAGGGAAAAAACTACCCGGGCGCGCCCTCTGCAACTCCGAGTCCAGAAAGAGCAGCGAACGCGTATTGAGTGCTAATTTCGCCAGGCCCTCGTGCTTTTAGGGTAACCCTCTCATTTAGTCCTCATGGACTGTAAGGGACTGTTCAAGGACAGACGGGTGGCTCTAGAGGACAACAGGCCTGAGACCAGGCAGTCAGGGCAGTGAGAAGCGCTCTGGCGAGCCAGTCCTGACTCTCGGGTTGAGACCTGCTCCATGTGACCTCGTGCAAGTCACAGTCTCCCTCGTCCTTCTGTGCTCTGGTCCGCGTGTGGCGTCTGACTCCTGGCGCCCCCACCCCAAGCCTCTTTCCCCAGGGGTGTGTGGGAGGGGTTCCAAGGGAAGGGGGATCTGGGGCAAGCGAGGGAGGTCACTGAGGTCGGTGGGGAGACGGTCGGTGAAGTCAGTGAAGAGTAAGCAGTGGGGAAGGAGATAACTGGGGACAACCGCAGGCACTCGCCGGCTTCCCCACACCGCTTCCTGCGCCCGCCAGAGCCGCCGCCAGGACGGACCTTCTCGGCTCCAAAAGGAAGGTATTCCTTTCCCCCGCCCGGCGCCTCCACCCCGCTGCCCCAACCTGAAAGGCGACAAAACCTCTGTGGGCGACTCGGCCTGACTTAGAGCCCTGCTTTTCGGCCCGGGAACTCGCAGCTCGGCCCCTCCTCGTCTCTCCTCCGCGTCCACTCCCCCTCGGCTGGCGACCACTTGGTCTGCGCCGCCTGCATCCTCTGTGTGCCGGGCCCGCCCGCACTGCGGGGTTGAAGCGGGAGCCGCCCACGCCGCGCCCGCCGCGCGGCAGCGCCGTCTCCCTGGGACGCGCGCGGGCTCCGCGGCGCGCGGGAGCCGGGCGGGAGGCCATGGCGTGGCTCGCCGGGAGGTAACCCGCTGGACGTGAGGAGCGCAGGGCCGCCATGGCCCGGCGGCGGCGCCGCGCCTGCATCGCGCTGTTCCTGGTGCTGCTCTTCGCCTTCGGCACGCTCATGGGCCTGCGCACGCTCAAGGCTCCGGACGGGCTCCCTGCCCTGGGCCCAGGCCTGGAACTGGCGTCCTTTGAGCGACGCCCGGAGGGACCCCCTGCGCCGGCCGCCCGGGCCCCGGCCGCCCCCGCCGCGCCTCCGCCTCCGCCGCCTCCGCCCCGCACGGTGGGCCCGGGCAGCCCCCCGGGACCGGCCCCCGCAGAGGCCGAGCCCGCTCCCGGACAGAGTCTGCGCGTCTACTCGGACCTGCACGCCTTCTACTATTCGTGGTATGGGAGCCCGCGGCGCGAGGGCCACTACATTCACTGGGACCACGTCATGGTGCCGCACTGGGACCCCAAGATCTCGGCCAGCTACCCCCGCGGCCGCCATAGTCCCCCCGACGACTTGGGCTCCAGCTTCTACCCAGAGCTGGGGCCCTACAGCTCCCGGGACCCCGACGTACTGCGGGAGCACATGACCCAGCTCAAGGAAGCCGCCATCGGTGAGTTCTCCCCATCCCTGGGCGTCCCTGTCCCCCAGCCTCGCCCTTCTTTCTTCCGACACCCCAACTCTCCCTGATCCAGCCACCGGGCCTTTGGCCCCACTCACCAGTCGGCCTGGCTTCTTATCCCTTCCACGAAGCACTGCCCCTCTTTCCAGTATTCAAATGTGCCCACCTCTGCTTTCTGACCCCCAACATATCAAGGCCCCTTCCTAGGCCGGAGCTGCTGGGAGAGCCAGTGGCAGGTAGTTGGGCCAGAGCTGTCCTAGGGAGGGACATCGAGGAGAGGGAGCAGAGTCTTCATGTCTGTTGGGCGTCTAGGTTTGGGTAAGTGGAGCCTGGGTATCCTGGCCCCGCAGGAGCTGGGATTCAGAGCAGTAGAGCCTGGGATGGCCGCTGCTTGCACACCAGGTACCGGGTAGAGCAGCAGCGCCTCCTGCTTCTGCTGGCTGCAGGGAGAAAGGTTGCCCCCGTTGCATGATGGACCCCTTTCCGTGTGGGGTGCAGCAGCTTTTCACCAAGTACTCTGCTTGAAAAGAGGTTCCTGGGAGCCTCCTTGAGGTGGCCTGGGGTGTGAGGCTCACCTGTTCCAGATTTTGTCACTGACAGTACATTTCAACTTATCTGGAAACAATTAATGAGTGAGGGGGAAAAAATGAATGCCAGGGACAGTGGGAGGAGGTATTCACAGATACATAACACAAAGCCTATCCCTCAGGATTTTACAGTCTGGAGCGGCGGGCTATCTCCCACGGGAGGAAGACGATGACCTCTGTGTTCAGGGCTCTTCTCCCTTTGGGACCTCAAAGGTGCACCTCTCTTCCAGGGATAGGACTGTGCCTTCGGGGTGGGTGTGGCATTGCCCACCTATTCCCCTTTGTTCTACTACTTGTTAATGTCAGCATAAGCCAGGCTCCTACCCAGACTTTTCTCAGGCTCCTTCCACGCCTGGTGCGCTAAGGCTCCCTGAGCTGCTGAGCTTCAGCACCGCGGGCGAGGACAGCTCCAGGGCCAAGGCTCTGGGATCTGGTCTGGCGGAAGTGAACGAACCTGGCAGGAGCCTCGCTCTAAGATTTCATTCAGAAACCATTTTGCAGTTGGACATGGTTTGTGAAGAGAGAAATCCCTGTTGCGGGGAGACTGTGTGTCTCTGAGGTAGCCTGTGTTGTGTCTCAGGTGTCCTTGTCCTGTCCTGGTATCCACCTGGCATGGCTGATGATAACGGGGAACCCTCAGATGACCTGGTGCCCGCCATTCTGGACACGGCCCATCAGTACGACATCCAGGTGAGTCTTCAAGAAGAGGTCAAGTGTCCTCTGGCTCATTCTGGAGATGTTCCCACTATCCATAGGGATAGTGCCTCCACCCAAGTTCTTGGTTATTAGCCCAGCTATGGCAAAGAAGTAGGAAGTGTGGTGTTGGGCGGGGGTGGGGGGGGCGGTCTAATAAATACTGCCTAGGCCACACATATTTTCTTCAATTCTGAAAAAAAGTGGGGAAAACTAAATATAGGAGAAATAGGAGACTAAATATTACAATAACAGAGGTTAAGTTGGAGACCCTGACCCTGGATAGAGGGCAGGCAAGGGCCAAATGGGATCACAGATGGCTCCAGCCTCAGCGTCCTGCCTCAGGGAGCAGAGCACACGTGTTCCCAGCAGGTAGGCTCACTTTCCAGAAGAAAGAGGGAGCTGAGCTAACCATGTCTGGTTACTTTCCCTAAATGTACCAATCAAGTAAGTCATTTTCCTCTCCTTTGACAGAAAAGCGCCTCACTCCCATTCCTGAGCCCATCACCAACACGCTTTATGGGCCAACACAGCTTCAGTGTTCTTCTTCCCATGGTTCTAGGCATCTAGTGCCAATCACGTGGAATGGGCACATAAGCCAAAACCTATTAGCCGTCCTGCCCATCAGAGTGATTCCCTGATGCCCAGCTGGGGGAGGTGGGCAAACTTCTTGCCCTTTTTTCAGCCCTGGGGACAGGGGCTGCTTTTATGTCTGTTGTGCCCACCATGCCAGGCCGTCTCCGGACTCAGCTTCTCCTCTAGGCCATGGCTGGAACATGAGCCGTATAGGTTGTGATCCTTGGACAGATTCTCACCTGACCAGTATCTCCTGCTTGTGGCAGGTGGCCTTCCACATCCAACCCTACAAGGGCCGGGATGACATCACTCTGCACGACAACATCAAGTACATCATTGACACGTAAGGCTGCTCTGGGGCATGGATTTTGGTGGGGATCAAATAGGAATAGGGATAAGAGGTTTGGAGGGGCAGGTCAGGAGACACAGGGCAGGATGCCTGTGTCCCCAGCTGTTGTTGTTGTTGTTACTATTATTAATCCTCACCTGAGGACATTTCTTCTTTGCCTTTAGAGAGAGAGGAAGGAGGGGAGAGAGAGAAGGAAAAAAATTGATTAGTTGCCTCATAGGCTCCCCGACTGGAGATCAAACCCACAACCTTGGTATGTGCCCTGACAGGGAATTGAACTCTCAGCCTTTTGGTGTGTGGGGCGGTGCTCCAACCAACTGAACCATACTGGCCAGGGGCCCCAGCAGTTATTTTAGAGTAAGAAGTACTAGGCTTATCCCTGGCTGGTGTGGCTCAGTGGATTGAGTGCCGGCCTGTGAACCAAAGGGTTGCCAGTTCAATTCCCAGTCAAGGCACATGCCTAGGTTGCAGGCCAGGTGCCCAGTTGTGGGCACGGGAGAGCAACCACACTTCGATGTTTCTCTCCCTCCCTTCCCCTTCTCTAAAAATATGTAAAATCTTTTAAAAAATAATAAAAAAGTAGTAGGCTTAGAGTCAGCAACCTGGATTTGAATTCTGGTCCTGCAGCCTCTAGTCTGTAATCAGAGGCAAGTCTCTTTACCTTTAAGTCTTGTGAGAGTTACATGAGTTAATATATGTGAAAGTGGCTTGCACATGTCATTCATTCATTCAGAAACATTTACTGAGTGCCTTTAGGTGTCTAGGCACTGTCCTAAGTCCCAGTTGTACAGTAATGGGTAGGATTACCAAAAATTCCATTTTAGTGTATGCTGAGTGTGCCATGGAGCAGAGTAGTTACACGCAAGATCAAATAGTGTGATCCACACTATAAAAAAGTAATAATAAAGAATAAAGCAGAGTGTTGTGTTAGAATGGGTGGGTGGTCAAGATCACTTTCTGAGGAGATGACATGGGAACTAACATCTAAATAAGAGGCGGCTCTGCAAAGATCTGGTGCAGGCAGAAAATTCCAGGCAGAGGGCTGTCAGGTCCAAAGGTCACAGGATGGGACAAGCCTGACCGCAGAATAGAAAGTCCAGTGTGGCTGGAGTGCAGAGATCGATGGAGTGACAGCAGGAATGGAGGGGGGCAGGGCCAGATCAAGTAGGTGGGGCCTTATGGGTCTTGGTAACGAGCAATCAGAGCTGATTTAAATGGAGAATGGCGCCCTGGCCAGTGTGGTTCAGTTGGTTGGAGTCCTGTAAACCAAAGTGTCACAGGTTCGACCCCCCAGTCAGGGCGCATGCCTAGGTTGCAGGTTCAGTTCTGGGTCAAGGCACGTATGGGAGGCAACTGATCAATCTCTCTCTCTCACATTGATGTTTCTTTCCCCTCTCTCTCCCTCCCTTCCCTGCTTTCTAAAATCAATGGGCGTGTCCTTGGGTGAGGATTAAAAAAAAAGAGAAGAATGGACTATCAGGAGGTAGAAGTAGGAGCCTGCAGTCCAGATTAAAGGTGGTGGTAGCTTGGCCTAGGGCAGGGAGACGAGGCTTGAAAAAAGAAATGAAAGGCTGGGCCTTGGCTGGTGAGACTCAGAGGGTTGGGCATTGTCAACAAAACCGAAAGGTTGTTGGTTCTATTCCTGGTCAGGCCACATACCTGGGTTTCCATCCAGGGCACCACTTGGGGGCATGTGAGAAGCAACCAATTGATGTTTCTCTCCCTCTTTTCCCCTCTCTCTAAAAATAAAGAAAATATTAAAAAAAAAAAGAAAAGAAAAAGAAATGACAGGCTGGGGAGAGGAGGGAGGGAGATAAGTTCTTGCTTTGAGCCATGATGATCCAATTATGGACACTGGCTGGACCCAAACTTGCGCCCCGGCGTCGGGAAAGCTCTCCTCCATGGCTGATCCCACAGTTGTGCTGGCTTCTCCTGCCCGAGGCTGCCATCTCAGGCTCTTCTTCCTCCTGCTCTTCAGGTACGGGTCCCACGGCGCATTTTACCGCTACAAGAACAGCATGGGTAAGAGCCTCCCACTCTTTTATATCTACGACTCATACCTGACAACCCCTGAGGCCTGGGCCCATCTCCTGACACCAAATGGGCCCCACTCAATCCGCAACACCCCCTATGATGGGGTCTTCATAGCGTTGCTGGTGGAGGAGGGACACACTCACGACATTCTGGCCGCCGGATTTGATGGCATGTACACCTACTTTGCCTCCAATGGTTTCTCCTTCGGCTCCTCCCATCAGAATTGGAAAGCTGTGAAGAACTTTTGTGATGCCAACAACCTAATGTTCATTCCCAGTGTGGGGCCTGGCTACATTGACACCAGCATCCGGCCCTGGAATAACCACAACACACGGAACAGGGTCAATGGCAAATACTATGAGACAGCCCTGCAGGCAGCCCTGACGGTGAGGCCCGAGATCGTCTCCATCACCTCTTTCAATGAGTGGCACGAGGGCACCCAGATTGAGAAGGCCATTCCCAAGAAGACTCCAACTCGTCTCTATTTGGACTACCTGCCTCACCAGCCCAGCCTGTACCTGGAGCTGACTCGCCGCTGGGCGGAGCACTTCATCAAAGAGAAGGAGCAGTGGCTGATGTGAGGGGCCTGCCATCAGAACGTGAGGTGCTGACGTCCCAGCCTCACTAGAAAATCGTCACCCCCGTGGGGCTCAGCTGAGGTTATGGGCATTTGCTGTCTCCCGATCAGCAGCTGGGTGCTCCTGGGCGAGCCAGCAGCCTGGGCCCATGTGGGAAGTGGGCCATGTCAGCCAAGTGGTGCTGGGGCTGCTCTGTAGTTACAGGAAGCAGGGTGGTGTCCTGGAGAGGAAACTGTGTGTAGGAGCTGGCAGGGGACTGGACTTAGCCCAGGGAAGCTTCACATCCCCAGTCAGAGCACTTTAAAATTATCCCTTTGAGCTTCGAACTCAGCAGGTTGGCGTGGTGTAGCGGAGGTGCCACACCACTGCTCTCAGAAGGGCGTCAGGGTTCTGGGCCAGCATGCACCCTGCTCCCTTCTGCCAGCCTCCGCCTTCTCTTCGGGCGTCCTTCCAACATCGTCTATTTCCTCCAAGTTAGGGGACCGTATTTGAGACTTTCTAAAAGGGAAATTCTAGGTTCAAGCTCTTCCCAGTAGATTCCTGAACCCAATTTTCAGGCAATCCTCCAGAGCGTCCACACACACATCCAACACAGACTAACCGAGCACTTTACTCTGTGCTGGGAGCACATGACCAGAAACGGTTTTGTCTTCCCACTGCCTCCAGGATCCAGCTTCCCTTGTTTGGTATGGCCTTGTAGCTAGTGCTGAAGCACAGCTATAGGTGTTTCCTTTTCGCAGTTTTACCCCTGCTGGGTGTTGTTTCCTCTGAGAAAATACCTCTGTGCTCAGCCTCCGTTTTCCCAGATGAACATTTAGCTCCAGGGAAAGGACTGGGACACACCCCTCCCTTTAGCTGCCTAAACTGAAATGAAGCCCATTCACTAGAGCCATTTTCAGTGCTACTGTGATTTGTATTAATTAAATATGATGTCGTATTCTCAAAAGCAAGCATTCCTCTTGCTCTTTTCAACACTTCACAAATTCTGACCCCTCAGATTCTGACAAAGTGACATGTGGGATGGCTAGTGTTAATGAAGAGTTTACTTAAATTCGTAGTTTAAACAAGATTTCTAAAGGGAATATTTAAAAAAACCATTGCTTCTTTACAAATAAACTAATATGCTAATCGCAGAGACACTAAAAGCAGGCCCTAGGACACCTTCTTGGCAAGATTCTTAGGATCTACTTGAAAAAAATACACACTGGAAACCACTATATTAAGTTTATGGGCTCAAGACTGAATCCCAATTCTGGGAACTGGGGTGCAAGGCAGAAGGGAGGCAGTGGGCCCCGCTGGGTACCACAAGGACTCCAAGCTGCAGCAAGGTACCTGATACTAAACCCCACCAATGGACAGGGTAGGCCTGGTCACCTGGTTTGTGACTTAGCTGGGGAAACCAAGGCAAGCAGGGACAGGTGAAAAGGGTTAGATGGTGACCTGTAGTCATTTACAGAAGGGAGTAACATTGAGGCCTCATTTCACAGACACAATTGGAAAAATACTAGAAGTATGGTGATGCTGACGGCAACCTGATTCAGTTCTTTTGAAGGCTTCTCTGTGTCAAGGGCCATAAAAATATTCATACACTTTGACCTAGTAATTCTGCCCTAAGGAAATAATTCAAACAAGAAAAATAAGCCATTTTCAAAGATGTTTAATAGCAGCATTATTTTTCATTAAAGAAAAACAAAGTTCAAATGCCCAACAATACTTGTGTTTAATGCTTGGTATACATATAAATACAGATAAAGGCTATATTCATATGTAGACACTAGATTTAAATAAAGGTATTATAGGTATAACTCATTACAATTTATTTTATGTCTCAGATAGTAGAGATTTATTTTCCAATACTCTTTACTTTGGACCCCGCTATCTCATTCCCTGCCAACTGAGCTGACTTCCCATCATTAAACCATAATGACAACTCTCTGCCCGGCAATGAGCGCACGCCATGCCTCTGGCTCTGGCTTCAGGTGAAACGGTGTCTGGCTTGTGGCTCTACAATCTTTATCTTAACCTGGTTCTAGCTTCAGGAGCGCAAAAACTCATGTCTTTGGTCACCTGAGACTTTTAAACAGCACCAACAGCTCTAGCTCATTTGGACCTTCAATGCCGCCACTTCTCACTAGATTCCAAATGTTATTTAAATTATATTTCAAATTTTTTTTTAAAAGAAAAGAGAGGGAAGAATCATCAGAATAAGAGCATCCCAGGAATGTTCTTAAAAGTCTCTTATCAGCTTTTGGCTGACATGTAAAATTACAAGTAACAAATAAAGCCCCCTTCCCCAGGTGTGAGGCTACACCAGCAGCTTCTGGGGCCTGGTTTACCAAGTTCAGAAAGACAAACTGCCTTAAAAGCATCAGTCTAGTGACGCTGTAGTCCCAGCAGCCTCTGCAAATGAGGCCTCGCCCCCACCAGTGGACAGACACATGGTGTCCAGCTTCAATCCCTGGGCCCTCCAGCCTCCCGAGTTTCCCATTCAGGAGCCATGCGAGGGGAGCAGCCCGTACTTCTGTTGTAGAACAGCTGTAGTATTTTCCACGGCACTGAGGAGGAAATGGAGGAGAGACAGTTCAGAGTCTGACTTCTCAAGCCCACCAGAGTCCAGTGATCGGGGACCTCTAAACTCTCTGGTATTACGATCCTCTTATCATCAAACCCTTGATGAGTCCTTCTGAATCCCGAAAAAGCCAGCGAACACCAGTAAACTTAGCCTCACTCCACCCACCACTTCTCCAAATCTTCCCACCCCTGCCATGGCAAGAGAATGTGACAACATTTGTTTTGTCAAGACCCTTCTTGCATCTTCCAACCTCACTCAAATCCTGTCCCCAAGCCACAGGAAAGAGACTCACCAGCCTGGACGAATGATGCCAAACATTCCAGGCACAGACAAGTCAACCACAGTTGAGCCTAGGCGACACTCAGGGCTCTGGCCATCCCCAATTGGTCCCCCATCAATTACCAGGGACAAATGAGGCCAGAGGTCCTGGAACTCCTAAGAGAGAGGGAAAGAATATGGACCCTTCCCCTGGCCTCTGCAGTGATGTCAGACTGCAGGCAGGGTTTGTAAGTAAGACAATGGCTACACAGTCCGAAGACAGTAGGCACCTTCCTCCCAGCAGGAGGGGAACCTCATTTAGTTAAGATCAGCTCTGCTAAGGACACTGCATTGGCACCTAGGACACCACTTCCTATGAGGTGTGAAGGCATCCCCCTGATCAGCGCCCCAAGTAACACCTATCTAGAGCCCAAGGAGTATCTTGCTGTGCCAAGAGGAAATTCCATACCTCGTTTCTGGTGGGCAGATACAAGTACTGGAGTCCTGGGTAGGAGCCCAAGTATGTGCGCTCTAGCCTAAAGTAATTCAAGTTACTTTATCTAGGGTTGTAAAGTAAGAGAGCGGGACTAGATGGTCTCTAAGGGTCACTCTGGCTCTAGTACTCTGATCACGGGATCTCAGTGGAACTCTGGATCACGGTACAGAGAAGAAAACAGGGCGGACACTGCAAGTGCATGTCACCAACGCTCAATCCTTGGGCCGTGGGAAGGGTACTCCCTTCTGTGCTAGACAGAGCACAGCCTCATCCAGCCCCTACTCCTTATGGAGACACTGCAGTGGCAGTCAGGCCTGGGAATTCGGGATGGGAGACGGTGACTACCAGCTGGATGAGTCAACTGCTTGCTGAAAAGGTTAGAGTACCTCCCGCCATCCCCTCCTCCACTGCCCTGAGTATGGCCACCAGGGCCAAATAAAAGCCTGCAGTCTGAGGATGAGAAGGGATGCTGAGCTCTCACTTTTCCAGGCCTCTGAGCCCACTCTCTACGTCTGGGCACGGAAAGCCCCGTCCCTTTACAATGCTCTACATTTAAGTTCAGTATGAAGAAAACAGTGTGGTAAGTTCCATTTCTTTGTGTCCTCATTTGTTCTAAGCTATGCAGCTAAAACAGGATTAGGATGATCCTTTCTTGGACCTTGCTTATGGCAGAGGTGAGAGAGCAGGGTCAGGAGTCCCTGGGAGAAGTGATTTTAACTTTTCAGAGACTTAACTTTCTTTATAGCACTGTTGTGAAAACTTATTGCACAACTGTATTCTCCAACTTCTACCCCCACAAAAAGGGGGAAAATGATTATATTGATCATGTTTCTTTTTTAAAAGATAGGAAGAGAACACCAATTCTCCCCTTGCTTTTCAAACTCTGTACTAAAACCTTTCCAAGACTCTTGGATTCCCCCCACCACATCCCCTGCCGAAAGGGCAGACTTCCCGCCGTTAAGACTCTTCTTCCAGGCAATTCCAGCAAACCATTAACCCCACTGGTTCAGAGAAAACTGTGTTTGGCCTGGTGACACTTCCGGGGGGTGGGGGGAGGACTGGGTAACTCTCACCTCCACTTTCAGGGAACTGGCCTGGGAGCTGAGGTTAGCGCTGGTGAGAGCAAGTGGTCCCCCAAACATCTGGGCCAAGTCCTGCATGAAGGCGTGGTCAGGAATCCGGATGCCTACAAGCTATGAAGCAAGGTGAAAGGGGATCATGAGAAAGGATGGAAGAGGTGGGGCAATGGGTCCAGTCTAAATCCTTGTGAAGGTCAAATGGCAGGAGTCTGGGGACAAAGACAAAACTCTGACTCACGGGAGTGAAGGGGTTCAGGTCCTTATTGAGCTCCTCTGAGCGTTCCATCACCAGGGTCACTGGTCCTGGTAACAGGTCTTTCAGCAGCCCCTCGGGTACTCTCACATGACAGTACCTGGGAAACAAAGGGGGCACAAATTTATCCAAGCATGAAGGGCTACTGCTGGTCCTAGTCCAGACTTTGGTAGATCTAGAAAAGGGGACCCTAGGGACTACACTGAGATCCATCTGTCTTCCCTCCTCACCTAAGAGCTTGAGCAGACGCTTGAGGCCCACATGCCTCTGTTCTCCGAGGCTACAAACAGCTGCACCGCTGTCAAGCTCCGTGTTTTATTTTCTTCCAAGCTCTCCCTACTAAATTAGGCTACCGTGTTTGTTTCCTTTCTTTTTTAAGCCGTGGGAGTGTCCGCCCCACCCCCCACCCCATTAATCACAAAAACGTCAGGAGAATGGGAGACCCTGCCTGCCTCGTTCACAGCTTGCGTTCCTGCATCTCGTTTAGGGCCTGGCAGACGTTAAGCACACGATACACACTTCCAGTTCCGGATTCCTGGGTGAGCCTGGACAAGCCCCTCCCGCTCTCTGCGCCTCAGTCTCCCAAGCTTGTCACCGGAAGCCCCTCCCGCGGTGCCGCCCCCAGCGGGGCCGGGTCGGGGAGGCCTTACCTGTAGACGTCGGCCACGCGGCCCAGGCACACGGCCAGCGGCTTGGCCTCGCTGCGGCCCTTGAGGTGGTACACAGCGCCCAGTGCTGCGGAGCAGCTCGCCGAGCAGGCCAGGCCGTAAAGCGTATCGGTGGGGACGGCCACCACGGCGCCGGCGCGCAGTTCGGCCACGGCAGCCCGCAGCGCCTCGGTCCAACCGGCGCGCTCCGGGCTTGCGGCCCGCACGGCCCCGCTCCCCGGGAGCCGCAACAGCCGGGCCCCCGGCACCGCCCGAGCGGGACTCGGAGGGCGGAGAAGGCGGCCGCTCCGAGGGGAGCCCGCCGGCCCCTCGCTCAACCCCACGCTGGCAGCCACCGCGGCCCTCAGCCCCTTGCACGGACGCGCCGGAGACATCCGCCCAGGCCCGCTTCCTGGAGGAAGTGACGCGCCCAGTCAGCTTCCGGTCCGGGAGGCTCGGCCCCACCTCCGCGCCGGGCAGCTTAAAGGGACCACGACCCCCAGGAGGATTGAAGGAGACCGGTGGGGACGGGGCGGGGCGCAGCTTTGCGGAGCCTTAGCGCAGCGCTGGGGAGGGGGGAGCCTGAAAGGGGGGCGGTGGTCGGGCCGCGCAGGCGGAGATGGAATGGGGCCCCGGCTCAGACTGGTCACGGGGGTGAGAGGGGGCCCGTCGGGGCGGGGGGAATGGGCTCCGACCCCGCGCCAGCGCCGGCCCTGACCGTCTGTCTCTCCCTCTCTCCCGGGCAGGGAGGCTGCCGGCGTGGACCGTGGGAAGGCGGGGCTGGGGCTCGGCGGGAGGCCACCCCCGCAACCGCCCCGGGATGAGCGCGCCCAGCAGCTGCTGGACGCGGTGGAGCAGCGACAGCGGCAGCTCCTGGACACCATCGCCGCCTGCGAGGAGATGCTGCGGCAACTGGGCCGTCGGCGCCCGGAGCCGGCTGGTGGCGGGGTTAGTGCCCACCCCGGGCTGGGCCTGGGAGGTGGGGACTTTGCTAAGCCCTAGCGTCCCCTGATGGGTGAAAGTGTCCCCACCGCTTTACCTCCCACCTTTTATCTGGATGAGAGGCTCTGAGAAAGTTCAGTGCTGTCCAAATGCCAAGTGGCCATATCCTTGCGGGGCCTAATCCAAGGCCCTTCCTCCCAGCCTCACTCTTTTCCTTTCTGTTCCAACCAGAACGTGTCAGCCAAACCCGGAGCACCCTCCCAGCCAGCCGTCTCCACCAGAAGTGGCTTTCCAAAGGATGCTGGCGATGGAGCTGCGGAGCCCTGACCGTCCCCGAGCCCGTGGCCCTGAGCTCTCTCCCTCTTCGGGGCTGGTGGCTGGACTCTGAACAACTGCCTTCAATAAAGGGGCCAGTCTTCACTGGCAGTGGCTGGAACTTGGCCCTCAGCCTGGGGTGGCAGCTCTGCTAGCAGCTGGGTTCACTCCCCCTTCATCCTGGCTGAAGGCAGCGCTGAGCTTTGAAATGAAGCCAAGGAATACCCAGTCTGATGACCCGGATTTGAGCAGGCCAGCAGTGCTCTCCAGAGTGGTCTGGCCTTCTCTGGGGGATCCAAGTGGTGTTACATGTCCATTTCATGCTTTGGGGGCTCCTAGCCCCACAAAACACTTTTAGCAGAGCCTTGATTAAAAGGAAACCTGCAGACTATCCTGGTGATGGACCTTTCCTTTCTGTCCCCTCTCTAAGATTCTGACGGCTGGGGAGGGGGGAAGTGGTTGAAAACACTGTCAACCGCGGGCAGGGTTGGGAAGAAATACCACGGATAACTACCAGATTTAAATAAGCATTTAATTAGGATTTCATTAGTATTTAATATTGCTTTTTAAATTCCAAAAAGTTAAATTTTCACTTCTTAGCAGATATTTTAAAGTACAATATTAAGTTTATACAAAATGAGCAATTAAGCAAACACCATTATTTCACATTCTTCAAAAATACAAATTCATATTTACTCTTTTGGGTTTGGAGTTTTCTTCCTTTGGAAGTACTGAACCTGTAACGTTTTCATATCGCTCAGTGGAAGTCCGTTGTTCCCATGTTTCACACTTAAATGAATTTGATAGGCTTTACATAATCCAAATAAAACTATCTGAGATTTAAAGAACTGTCACCAAGACGTCTGGCCAATGACTAGTGTATGTCAAAGAAAGAAGGCTCTCGTGGGTCTTGCCTTCCCTGGCCAGAAGATCTGAGCCAGAGATTCAGCAAAACGTGTTTCCAGCCACCTTCCCCAAACAGGTACTAGGAGTTCACAGGGAAAGGAAACAGCCACCTTAATCTCTGACCCTCACCCCCACATTCACCAAAAAACAACAAAGGACTAGACTGTTGAGTCAAACATCACCCTAGGGGAGGCCTGAGGACACAGGGTAGAGGGCAAGAGAGGCCTCTGACTTGGCACCACTACAAGGATAACAAGGATATTGCAAAAAACACCCCTGGGTTTTGGTGAAAAAAGGTTTTATGAAAAACTTTCCCATAAGAAAAAGAGTAGAAACTGCATTGAGCTGAGAAAGAGACACTACATTGTCACCCAATTTTTGGCCCAACAGGCACACCACCAAAAGGGCAGTGTGTGGTTTTAAACTTTGCATCCAGTAAAAAAGCTTGTACTATGTACACATCGACATAAAGATCCAGTTTAATTTGCATTTTTCAGTGCAGGCTGAGCAGCTCTCTCCTGAACAGGAGTAACAGTGAGAAATGCCCAAACAGTGGTCATCAGCTTCCCCAAAGGGCATGGAAGGAAACAAGGGACCCTTTTCCCTCTCCCCCAAAAATTTTCCAAGAGGAAACAGGCTAAACGGATTACCAATCAGAAATATGCATAATTTAGTTTTGTTGCCTCCCCCTCCCCAATATTAAGGAATGAACAATTCCGATCTATGTCACAGCAGAATCACTTGTATTTTGGATATGAAAATCTTTCCGCTGAAAGTATATTTTTAAAACTTCTCTATTATAGCCTGAGAATGAAGATAAAATGGGGTGGGAGGGGGAAGGAAAAAGGGTAGTAAAGCAAATTATTAACAGCTTTGTTTATTGGATTTAATGAAGGTTGGAGGCCTACTTGTTTAAAGAGCCAACAGGGGCAGTATGGGAGCAGTATGGAAATGGCTCATGCTGACACCCCACCACTAACACCTCCGTAAACATATTTCTGATTGGTGATGTAGGAAAACTGTGAAGTCTTTGTAGCAATACTGTTGCAGTTTCACAAATCAATGGTTTCTGTGACTCTGGAGAAGTCTTTAAGATTAAGGACAATGGACGAGATTACAAACATAAAAGTCTAGAAGGTGCCAGGTTTCTATCTCGGAACAATCTGTTCCTTTCTTTCAGGCATCACTTTGTAATGGTGAAGGGGGGAAAGACAGCAAGGGTGCAAGTAGTGATGAAAAACGGCCTCAACAGTCAGCAGAAGAAAACAGGACCCACAGCAGTTCTTTAGAGAGCCTGAGGGGGCGCCCTCAGGCACACAGGGAAGGCTTGCATAGATTGACCAGTTGCTGAGAATGCATAATAGTGTTTCCCTTTAGACAGCCTCCTGGTACAGGGCTGATGGAGCAGAAAATGTGGCCAGGCCAGGGCCACATGGGACAACGACTGTCAAGCTACACATATTGCACCAAAATAAGTGCTTTTCTTTTCACACCTCAATTTAACTTTTTATTCTGAGCAAAAAATAAAACTTTGTGGAAAGTGTATATATATATATACACACACACAAAAAAAATTGCAGCAATTGGGTTAAAGATAAAATAACCTAAAGTGCTTTTTATTTTATTATTTCTTTAATATACCAATATGAGGTTCTGCAGACTCGTCCCTCTGGACACATTCAGTATTATACCATAGTCTCTCAGGAAAGCCCACCCACCCTCCATTACCCCCATCAGTCCACTGCCTTGACACTGAAGGTAAAACTCTCCAAGCTACTGACTCCCAGAGGTGGAGAAGAGAAGTCCCTTGCTTCTACCCAGAGAGGTCTCCACACATTAAGGCCCCTCCTAGGCTTTGTACCATGATCTCCTTCTAAAAGGATGGGGGGGGGGGGGCGGCGGCCAGTGCGCGGGCAGGGAATTCAATAAATTGACACTAACTCCTGTCACCAAACATGATGCCCTCATGAGGTTGACCAGACCCTGTCAGGAAAGGTAGGGCTGCTTTCCCTCAATGCCCCACCCCCGCCTAGGAAGGCCCAAATTCACTAAGGCAGTTTGGCAACGCCAGCCAAGGTTTCCTACCACCCCCAAGCCCGTGAACTCCAATTCCCGATGCGGACTAGCACCCTGTAAAGGAGGAGTACAGCTAGAGACGCTAGTGGGAACTGGAATATAAATCTACAGGGTGAAAACGGCTATGGTTACCAAGGGAAGAAAAAGGGCTTGATTCCACCTGCGAGAAGTCTGCAGGCCTTCCCTGACCTTACCCTCGGTTCATCCCTGGGTTTAGGAAACCACCTTCCCCGTGAAGGCTCTGTCTGGCTCCCCTTTAGCCAGCTGCCTGCTCTTCTCCAAAGTCCTGGAACTAAGGGCCAGGCTGGCAGAAGGGGGTGGGGAGAGAGTGCTGGAAGAGGAAGGAAAGACCATCTACCCTATGGAACAAACCTACTCTTTATGACCACTCACATTTTAAGCACACTCCTGATTTTTCAAAAGCTGATTCGATTTGATAGTCCCCCTTGTAATCTCAAATCACCCTCAAAAGGCAGACACTTGAACCGGAAAAATCTGTCAGCGTAAACACTGTTTTAAGATGCTTCTTCATCACCCCCAGTCTTTGGAGAGCGGAAAAGCCACCGCCATGGGTAGGCTCAAAATGGTAGTACCGCCCTGGCTAACAAAGAAAGAAGCAAAATTGAAACCATGGATGCTTCTCGTGGCTTTCCCCGGACTGCTGTTTCCTGCCTCAGCTCCCAGGGAACTGGGTCCCAGGTGACTCCAGGTGTGGGAGGAGGTTGCTCCTGCCCTCCTCCCACATACCTGTGGGGTCCCGCTGTGCTGCTCTCTCTCAGAAGAGGTAGAGAAAAATAGCAAGGGTCCTAACCTCAAAGCTTCCTATGGGTTCAAGGTCCAGAGACAGCCAAGGACAAGCCATGCTCAGCAGTTGGCTTTTCCGGACGAACCCACTGTGTTAACAGAAGATTCCTCCTGTCTTGTCAATTTCTGCTGAGGTCAATGGTCTCCAGAACCCACCAGCCTTGTAGAGGGGAGGGGAGTGTAGAAGGTCAAAAGGGAACCAGTTCTCCTGCCTAGACTCCTTGGATGAGAAGCCATCAGCAGCTTGTGGGTTAAACCCATTTCTCCTCATGGCAGTAACAACGTTCACCACCACTGCCCTCCTGTCCAAGTCTGACCCTGAACATCCTGTTTAAAGGCAGAGCTTCTGGTTCCCTAAGTGATCTGCTCTGGATACTGTCTTGGCTGGCCCTGAGTAATGGCTCAGAGAACAGGAGAGTGACAAATGCAGATCTTTTTACATCAGGGAGTGGAAAAGGAAGGCAAAACTACGGCTACTTCCGGCCTGACATCGTTGCCTCAGCAGAGCAGCCCTGTCTGTGGAACCATGCTGCTCACTCTGGGCAGGGAAGGAGCTCTTGGGGGGCAGAGGCCTCGTCTAGACGCTGGGCCATGCCCAGTTTCTGAGCTCAGCCAGCCTAGTGAGCACTCATGATTACATTAATATAGCCAGTTGAGAGAAACTTTCCATTTTAGTGTGGATTGTATTTTATGTTTTACGTTTAGAGGCAAGGACTTGGAGCTAAAGGCAGGCATTCTATATAAGGATGTAATTCTATACACAAATAAAAAACAATTCTTTCCTAAATATAACACAACTTAATCAAACATTCCAAATGAGATAACTTATTGCAACATTTCAGGCTTTTTGGTGGAAGGGGAATTTTTTTTTTTTTTTTACCCTGAGTAGAAGATCATCGTTTTGTGTTTTTTTGTTTGTTTTTGTTTTTGTTTAGAAATCTTATGACTAAGCTGAGCAAGTCACATCCTTCTTTGCACTGTACTAGGCTGTATGCAAAATCCAGAGGGGCGACGGGCTGAGATGAGAGGGGCAACGGAAAGCCTGGCTAGAACCTGGAACCAGGATACCTGGCCTGCCAATTACATGCCACCTTTAAAAAAAACCTCCCTTAAAGCTACACCTTCTGATAAGCAAAATGCAGCCCTTCTGCTCTGAGAAAGAAAAATGCCATTAAGGGAAGGCAGAGCACCGACCAGCAATTGGCCATAAGCCCACATGTCCACCCTAGGACAAAACAGGGATGTTTCCCCAGAAAAATTCACGGCAATGGCAACCAACTGACAGAAAAAACCAGGAAGGCAAAGCCTGTGATCATGTTGCTAGAACCTGCTCTGCACACACTGACAGATAGCAAACAGCACCCTTTGGGCCCCTGCAGAACCAGATCATCCCCACAGCTTTGGCCCAGGCTTTTAGCTGCCCATTTGTGCTGCTGGATGCAGGAAGACGCCTGCTACCATCACTCTGAGCTCCACTGACACGAAGCACAAACAAACCATCTCACCCAATTCCTGTCCAGCTCACAGCTGTCTGGCCTGCTTTGCCACTTCCCTCTCTGATGGAGTGAGGATCTGGCCTTCCGAGCAAGCTTCAGCCTCAGACTCAAAAGACACACGGGGAGGAGCAACGCTAGACACACTGAAGTTCACTGCCCAAACCACAAGGCCCCAGTGCAAGTGATGGGCAACATCAGATTGATGGAAACCACACCCTTTCATTTAGAATTTTTATGCATACAAGTAACCTTAATTTCCAAGTTCACATGACAATAAGCAAAAGTGACATACAGTGCAGCCAAACAGTTCATTTATAACTTAGCTTTTTTTTTTTTTGTTGGTTTTTTTCCCCCAAAGATCAGTTCCTTAAAATGGATCCTCCTGGGATATGAATAAAGAAAATACATCTGAAAGGTGAGGCTTTCAAACAGTAGATTTCTTCATCCTTCAAACTGCTGACTCCATGATGGCAGGCATCACACCTTAGGCGCGCTTCCCGCTCGCCCTCTTCCTGGAGGGGAGCGCCCCGGGCCTTCACTTGGAGAAGCTGCTGGTCAGGCCCAGCTCCTCCTCCCCCTGCAGTAGTGCTTCAATGGGAATCAGATTGGACGGTGTGTCCAGGCTCTGGAGGGACAGAAACTCTGACACATCCATGGCACTTAACGTTTCTGTCTGAGGGTCTGGAGGAGTCTCTGCTTGTCTGCTTTGCTCACAGGAAGAGGGTACGGCAGAGGATGACGAGAGGGGGACAGAGGGTGCAGAAAAAGTCTGTGGTGGGAGCTTCAGGCCGGGCCCGTCAGGAGGCTGGGGGCTCGGCTCTGGAGGGGGAGGGGAAGAACAGCCCTTTCTCCTGCCGGCCGCCCGCTCCTTGGCAGAGTCCCGGCACGCGCACTGACACTGACAGGCCTCCTCTTGCTTGATGATGATCACGGGAACACTGAGGCCGATCTGCTGTACAGAGCTCCCTGCGAGAGAGGCAAGAGACACTGCTCTTCAAGTGGCTGCAGGGCACGGGGGTCTAGGCCAGGTGAGAGCTGAGGGCCATGGAGGCAGGAGCGATGGAAAGGATGGATGCCATGTGCCAAGACCAAGGCCCTCTTCCTTAGAAAGCCACACGCACCGTCTAGAGGCACCCTGTATTCCCAGCCTCCTTTCCAGCCATCCTCTCCCCTGCACCCTCCATGCCAGCCACAGCAGACGCCTCCCTTTTCCTGAAACATTCTTCTTACCTCTGAAGACCCAGCTCACTCCCCTCCTCTCCTGGTGCCGCCAGGCAATGTTTCCAGCAGGCTTACACCAGGGCCTGGGGGAGGGCGCTGGCCCTGTGGAATGCACAGAGCTGGTGTATTCTTCTATCCCCTCAGTCCGCACTGTACAGGGCTTGTTCGGTTCCACCTGCCCGAGGGGCTCTGAGCTCCTTCAGGACACCTCATGCATCCATGTGGCCCCAGTCACAGACACACAGTAGGTGTCTGTAAACCTCCTTTGACACAGCCAGCCTTGCGTGCACACACGCTCAGCGAGTTCATGCAGGCTTTGTGTGTCCAGGGAGAGCCAGAGACCAAGGGGCTGGAGGATAGAGTGGGGGTCAGGAGGCCTGAGAACTACTGCTTTGGCTCCGCCCCAGACTCATCTGTGACTCTGGGGGAGCATTTAACCTTTCAGGGCCCCAGTTTCTTAATCTATAAAATAAAGAGTTTAGGAAAAAAAAGGACCTTTTAGTTCTACATAGTCACTGACCCAGATGCTATTTCTTCATCACTGTAATTAGAAAAGAGTCCAGTGAATTAACAACTGCCCTCTTTAGCATTAACTGTGATTCAAACTTTTTTTCTGGCTACATTTAAAATCTGTATCTGAAAGGGAAAGAACTTTTACTAGTTAAAAAATGTTAAATGTGGTATTTATGCCATAAGCACACTAACCTCCAACAGTTACGAGATTATAAAATACTCTTTAATAAATAAACAATACAGTGTGAGAAACTTGATTTTAAAGTTTTAAAAACTGGGGCAAAGCAACAACTAACTGCGCCCTTTGAGTACTCCCACGGAATTACGCACCTGTGCTGCTGGCTACTGGCACCGCAGCGGTAAAGAACACCTTCTCAACTTTAGACGCTTGCTGCTGAAACAAAAAGAAAGTGCGTTTATGACTGCTCGAGCAGGACAGATCTGTCACCCCAATAAATTAAATTTTAAAAAATACATGGCAGATCTCCAAGAACCTAAAACCTCCCCAACTGCAATGGTCATCCAAGAGGACAGAAAACCCTCAGTGTTGAGGGATTTCTGCACTGAGGGATGTTTTGTTTGTGCTCTGACATGAGGTCAACCCACTGCTTGGCATTCAGTGCAGACAATGAAGCCAGCTTTGTCCCCCACTACTTCGCTGTCTCCAGCTGCCCACTCCAGGGGTTCTGTGTGCACACAGGCTCCTCCAAGGCTGCTCTTCCCAAGCTGACAGTCTTCTCAGAGGGAGCCCCAGGGCTAGCTTTCTCTTCCAGCTCTCCTCTCTCCCTCAGGGCTTCTATAAGGCTGGAAAGTCCCCCCCCCCCCCCCACCCCGCCGATGCCAAGGATTAAGCTGCGTGCTGAGGACAGGCTAAGACGTCATCTCACAGGCACAAGCGCCCTGGTGAAGGCCCTGAGCACAGGGTAGTTGCTCCAGGGTGGGCCCTGGACTCTGCCACACCCAATTCAAGTCCTGATTCTGCCCCTTATTAATTGTTAAGGTCAGGTAAGCGCTTGAACCTCTTAGTGTCTCAGTTTCCCCATTTGTAGAAATGGGGATCATAACCAAACAACCTCCCAGAAGAGTCCTGCAAAGATGAAATGAGAGGATGCATGTAGAGTCCGTGAGAAATGGTGAGCATTCAGCAAACGTTAGCTACTTATATGGAATATTATTACTAAGGAGGACAATGAAGTCATGCCCAGAAATCAGCCCAATGACTTTAGTGCACCACTTATTAAACTGGCTATATATAGTTTCTACTTTCTTCAAGTCTTACCTTAAAAAGGCTTTGGTTTTTTTTCTATTTAAGAAAAAAAAAAAAGGAAGTCCAGGAGGAACATGGAAGCTTCTGGCTAAGTTATAGAAGATGATACTATAAAATAATGCTGGAAAAATCAGACCCATATTTAGATACATGAAAATGAATTGTGTGGGAAAGAAATGATAACACTTGTTCCATGCAACTCCTCAGGGCAGATCCAGAAAAAAAGGGTAAAAACCACAAGGAGGCAGACTGGGTGTCAGCACTGAGGAGGCCTTTCCCGTGACCCCAGCCCCCTGAAAGTGGGGCTGGGCTGCCTCCAGAGGTGGCCGACGCCCCGTTATGGAACCTGAGTGCTCTCACTATTTAGCTCTAAATAGTTTGAGAGCATCTATCACACATCTGTCCAGACAGTCTTTTACCTGGTGTATCTAATTCCTACTCATACCACAAGGCGCACCTGACCTGCACGGCTACCCAACAGGCCCACTGTCTCTGAGCCCCTCCTGGAGCAGCAAGGTGGAGCAGTGAAGAGCCCAGGCTCTGGGGTCGGTCTAGGCTCAAACCCCAGCTTTGCCACTTATCAGCTGTGTGACCTCGCGCCACTCACTGAACTGGCCCCAGCTTGCCTTGGGTTAATCACACCCACCTCCTAGGATTGTTGTAATGCATTAAAAGTGCTTGGTTAGCACAGCGGGTGACATCTGGAGATAGAGACATAGAAACAGTGAAAACATCAGTGGTTGGGAGGGGAGAGGGAAAAGGGATGGATAAGTGAAATGGGATTTTTAGGGTGATGAAACCATTCTGGATAATGTGATGGTAGATACATGACGCCATGCATGTGTCAGGTACCACACAGAGAACAAAACCTAATGTAAACTATGGCCTTTAGTTAACAATAATGTATCAATACTGATTAACCAATTATAACAAATGTACCGTACTGATGCAAAATGTTAACAGGGAAAACTGGGGAGCGGGGCGGGGGTGAACAGGGTGTATGGGAATTCTTTGTACTATCTGTTCAATATAAGAGAAAACATTTAACTTAAAAATAACGTACATAGGGTAATGACTTACAAATTAGATCCTCAGTTTTAAAAAGTGCTTAGTTAGCATAGCAAGCCCCTATACATAATAAGGGCTCAATATATCATAGCTATTATTTTTTCTATTACCATTTTTATTATTATTTGGCACTTTACCTACTGGTAATGCTAACTTTCTTTGAAGCATTTTAGCCTCCTTAACTAGAATGTTAAACTTTTATGAAAAACAGACCACGGTTTTCAGCAACCCCCAGAGTATCCACGTGGCACCTGCTAAATACCAGACTCTCACAATTACTTAATTGAAGGAGCAAGCCATTCCCTTATTGTCGAGACCAAATGCATTTGTAGATGGCTCTACGTGGGCTCTGGGAACACAGGTTACTCCTCGGATTTGGCCATCAGATGGGGTCACGTCAATCCCTCACATCAGCGGGACTCTGCCTTGGACACAGAACCCGCTCTCCTGAAACGTTCTTGGGCCTCTGGAGTTTGCTGGCTGCTCTCCTGTCCTTGATGACGGGATTAGATTGCAGGTGGAGTAGTTGTTCAAGGGCGTACTGCTGGGGAAATGGGAAAGCTGTTTCTCTGCCTCCCTGTTGCAGGTGTCGACCACAGCATCCCTTGAATTTATACCACCCGATTCTGGGGAAAATGGCTAAGAGATAGAATTACATGGTTCAGGACAGATAGGACAGCCATTTTCCCTTTTGGAGTAAAAGTCTCTGAACATGTCACCCATGTAAATACACTTTACCCCACAGGGTCTGTTTACACACGATACTTACCATTTGTTCTTGGTTTTGCGGTGAAGCGGTGGCACCATTTAAGATCCACTGTAAGTTCTGTTCTCCCATGACTAGGCTGGACTGCAGGATAGCCGTGCTGGGAGTCGGGGTGATGGTTATAGTGGGATTATTAGTTAGGACAGAGTTGGCACCCAGGGGCAGAGTCTGGACCATGGCTGGCAGGGGCTCAGTAGTACTTTGTGGTTGGGGCGGTGCTGCCACGGCTGATGTCACTGCCGCTGCTGACGCAGAAGCCCCAGCAACAACAGAAAGTCCTGGTACGATGGGCTGTGGTGCCTGGGGGTGCGGAAGAAACTCTTGATGATTAGCAGCAAACTGTGTGCTGTGCAGAACAGGCACTTCTGGAGGTTGTAAGAGAGCAGGGGGGTTGCCAAATGCAGCTTGCTGGGAACCAGTTCCTAGGGAGGGAGCAGGCGGAGGAGCAGACGGTGCTGAGGCTGGTAGTAGAGGCTGGGGTGGCTCGGAGATGCCAGGCTGCAGTACAAGTGGAAGAGATAAAGATGCTGAATTTCCTGTGGATGGCGGAACATCACTGACTGACTCTGCATCACCATTAAAACTTTCAATCAAGGCAGCTGGCAAGAAAAAGAAATAGAAATATATATACATATCCCAAGCCTTACATGAGCCACAAAAACACAGTCCCTGTGAAATAAATCAAAGACAGCTGAAGTCTGGCGGAGCCGACTCCTTCGCTGCTAGCAGGCTGGCTTTCCGCTTCTCATTTAATGATGCCTCTGGTCCAAATACCAGGCTTCACAATCGACCTCACTTTTCTAACTGTGAAGACCCAGTATAGGTCTTCGCATAAAGGAATGTGTCCTAAGGCCGTTCTAGAAATGGGGCTAGACATCCTTTTTTGTCATGACCAAGGTGCACACTTTGACTACTGCGAAGCTTCAGTGACAGATTCTCATTCAAACACAGTCTGACCTCTGCATCAGACAGCTAAGCCTGTGGATCCTACCCACTCACGAACAGGGTGTCCCATCAGAAAAAGGGCTCATGGCTCCTCTCATTTTTTACAGCCAACAAGAGCCTTTGAAATAGGAGACCCTTTTTTGGAGGATCCAGGGAAAGTAGACCCCCAGGGAGACCCTTGCTGGAGGAACCAGGGGAAAAGATGAAGCTGAGCTGAAAGGCCCTTCTAAGGGCCTTAGAATACTCTTCTAAGCATTCACTGAGAGTCATGTCATTCACAGGGACGGAGAGCGGCCGTCCTGCCTGTCACTCAGTGTGCTGGCAGCGCGGGGGTTCCCTCTCCCAGGGCTGAGATTGGGGTGGGAAGAGGGCGTGTATCACAAACCTGTCTGTTGAGGATCTTCCTGAATTGCCGTATCATCTGAATTCTGGAACATTGATTTAAAAATGATTGCTGGTGAAAGTGTGCTGAGATCCGGGCCCTGTGGCAGACAGACAAAGACAAGGACGTGAGACCTGTCATCGGAGGAAACTCATCACCACGAGGAGACACAGGGCCACAGAACTACACGGACCTTTTGATACACTCCTTTTCTCTCCCTTTTCCTTTTTCAGTGACATCTAGGTCCCTAACCTTCAGACATTCAAGAGGTGGGTCCTCAAGCACTCTAAAAGAGGACCTGGCAAGCTGAGTGGCTGGCTGAATGCCTGTTTTTAGGAAGTTTTACTGGAACACAGGCGCGCTTGTTCACTGATTGTCCATGTGCTCTCAGCCACAACAGCAGAGTTGAGAAGATGCGACAGAGACCATATGGTCTACACAGTCAAAGACATTTATTATCTGGCTCTCTACCAAAAAAAAAAAAAAAAAAAAAAAAAAAAGGGGGGGGTGGTTCTGGCCCCTGCTGTAAAGGACCAAATTCTACATTAAAATGGGATTGAATAATATCCATTACCTGCACCTTGTTTTTCTCATGTAATAATATATTGCTAATACTTTTCAAGGCCATTACATAACACCTATAATATTCTAATAGGTACACATGGTGAATCAAACCATGTAAAGAACTTTCAATGACAGGCCATAGTAATTGTCTTATACACACTATTGTCTGTCATTACACTGATTCTTTGTAACTCACAGTAAAGGAAAGATGAGAGGCATTTTTAAAGATAAATTATGAAAAAAACTAGCAAACACACATATTGCCCTGAGGACCTGAGTCCTGATAGGCACCAAATAAAATGACCACCTCCAGGCTTCCCTTTAGTTAAGGGAAGGGGAAAACAGCGATTCTTTTTTACTTTTTTAATATATTTTATTTATTTATTTTCAGGGAGGGAGAAATTTATTTCCAGGGTGGAAGAAAGAGAGGGAGAGAAACATCGATGTGCGAGAGAAACACCAGATGATTGCCTCTTGTGTACCCCCAACCAGAGGCCTGGCCTGCAACCCTGGCATGTGCCCTGACTGGGAATTGAACCAGCAACTTTTTGGTTCAAAGGCTGGTGCTCAGTCCATTGAGCCACACCAGCCAGGGCAGCAATTCTTTTATCTTCAATACACCTCCAGTCCACCTCCACCCATGCATTTTGTAGGGCAAGTGTGACAGAGGTAAGTGAAGCCCAGGGGCAGGGAGCTGTGGCAAACTGGAGAGCAGGCGCCCAGCCACCTGAAGGGCTTCGGTGGAATCCCGCCGCGTGGCTCTCTGCCCGCTGGGGAGTACCAAAGCTCAAGAATAGGTCCGAATCTGAATTTTTGATGAAATCCACCGATTTGTCATTAAAAGCAAGTAGCTGAAAACACTTTAAAAGCACTGTATAAACCAAACAAAACCTATCTCCAGCCCAGACTTGGCCCCGCTGCCAACTTGTGCTTCCAGGTCCCCCTGCAACAATCCTGCTTCTGGGAGGGAGAGGGATCGCGCTGGGGCTGGGCAAAGTGTGGTGAGCAGCACTGTCCACCCATCTACAGTCCTCGGAGGAAACTGCCCTTTTGAGCCACGAGGGGCACTTATTCTAGCATGATTCCACCGCCTGGAAGAGTGAGAGAGGAAGCTGAATGACTCTGACTGCCAGTGTGTTGGAAGCTACAAGCAGAATTTATGTGAGGCTTCCCGGTTCCAGTCCACAGGAAGTTAAGAATAACAGGAAAGACAGTGGCCTTCAAGCTTTTCATCGTGACACAAAGTAATACACTTCACATTACAGAGTAAATGTGTATATATATGTGTGTGTATACACACACCCCCCCCACTTCATATTTTATATATCTATATCTCTCTCTCTCTCTATGTGTATAACGGAAACAAAAGCCTATGAAATAGAGCTTATCTTTCCTATGTGCAATATCTTCCAATACTTTCTATTCTATTGATGTTCATAAAATGCTGATTATAAATACTATTTTATAACTCAATAAAGAGGCATGACTCAGTTTGAAAAATAATGGGCTAACAACTCCGCTAAGCTATAAACTTTGCAACTTCCTCGTGGTGGTTGTGTTGTTTACAAATCATCAGCAATAACAACACTGTTAAAAAGAAATGAGCCTGTGTGACTCCAAAATCTTATGTAGAAGAATGTTCACAGCGGTACTATTCATATTGGCCCCAAACTAGAAACTATCCAGATACCCAAGGGAAGTAGAAAGAACAAATTGTGGTGTATTTATTTAGTGTAATACTGTTCAGTGAGAATGAATGATCTATTACTATGTGCAACAAAATGGATTGACTTCTTAAACATAATGTTGCAAAACAGAAACAAGCATAAATGAGTATATACTCCATTACTCCAATTCCACAAAGCACTAAAACTGTCCAAATTCATCACAGGTTGTTTGAAGTCAGGCCAGTGATTGTCCTCAGGGAGAGGTTAAGAGCTGTTGGGGGCATGAAGAGGGTTTCCGAGGTGCTGGGACTGTTCCGTTTCTTCATTTGAGTGCTGGCTACACAGACGTGATGAATTGTCATGCTTCATTATGCTGTACATTCATGACAGGGGCACTCTTTTTTATGTGTATTAATATCAATAAAAAGTTTTTTTAATTAAAAAAAAAAAATGGAAAAGTTAAGTGCTGAGAGGACTGTGACTCAGCCACTGCCAGGCTTCAGGGCAAAAACCCTGGGAGCTGCTCCCAAAAGCAGAAAAGCAGAGAAGTCAAGAACAGGCTGGGCCTCTGGGACCTGGAGCGAAGAGGAAAGAACACCGGGACCAGAACGGACCCTGCAGCTCAATAGCCCAGTGGCCCCGTGGGTCGGCCTCCACCTGCTTGGACCCTCCCACTTTGACCCTCCGTTTACAAAGATCTGAGCAAACCAAAGCTCACTTCTAGGACCTATCTGGCAGCCCAGAAACCCACAAAATGATGTTTGCATACAACTTTATCATTTGATTTTAACAATTCATTTTTTTTAAAGCAAAGTCAAACAAAGCAAAATTATTCTTACGACTTCACGCAATTATGGCCTTAGCTTGAAAGGCTAAAAAGGAGACTATTTGCAATTCTGGGGTAAATGCTGGGCAACAAGGGCACAATATGCAATTTGACCCATAGCAGCCTAGGCTCTCTCTTGCTGGTGAACGCTGCAATGGAAAAGGATCCCCCCTTTTTACAAGTACTTAAAGTTCTCTCATGTCAGGATTCCTCCTCTGGTGGCCCCAGAGCTCCAGAAAGCTCATCAATCTTATGCCACAGCCCTAACCAGGGAGGAAACCCCTGCCATTTAACACAGCCTCTGAGATAAGAGAGATATTATAACCAGGAATCTTTGGCTGCATAGCTCAAGGGTTACCTAGGCCACCCAATATAGACGTTTCCTTTAGAGCATTAGCTCTGAAATATGAATACGCATAAAAATCATATGAAGTGCTTATTTAATGTTTTTCTTTGTTCTTCAGATTGGTTAATTTCTACTGACCTATCTTCAATGCAACTGATCCTTTCTTCCATCATTTCCAATCTACTGTTAAGCTTATCCAGTGCATTTTTTATTTCAAATAAATTTTCAGTTCCAGAATTTTCAGTTGGTACATTTTTAACAGTTTCTATTTCTCTGCTGAGATTTCCTATATATTTGATCATTACCAGCATATGCCTTCATGTCCTTGAGCTACTTAAAATCCCTTGTCTAACTGTGGAACACCGAAACAGGCTAGGAAAAAATGACTGGATAGAAAATATGACTCTATTCATTTATTTCCCAGCCTACAAAAAAATCAGCTTAATCTCACATACTGAGATTAAACAGGTAAAATTATCAAGTACAAAATCAGGCCGCTGAAAACTCTGAAATTCAATCAATAAACCTTTCACAGCATTGATTCACTATTTCCTCACCTTAAAAAGAAAAAACTCCTTGTCCACTAAGCCACTAAGTCTAACATCTGGCTCATCTATAGATTACCTCTGCTCTTGTGTAGGGGTAGTGGTTTGCTGTTTCTTTCATGTTTACTAATTTTTGGATTACTCTGTACATTGCAAATAATACGTTATAGAAACTCTGGATTCTGCTGCCTTTCTTGGAGGGGTGCTTGCTCTCACATTCCACGGCCTGGGCTGCCCCCTAGCTCCAAACTCTGCCTTCCCTGCCGTGGACGGCAGCTTCAGTCTCGGTCCACTCCCAGCCTTAGCTGGGCTGCCTAGGGTCTGCTCTACACATCCACAGTTCAAGGGGCAGCTGGAGATTTGGACGGTGTATACAAGAACTCGGGGCCCCCCCGACCTTGTAGCGTTCTTCCAGGCCAGGCGCCCTCGTCTTCCAGGTGCTTTGGTAGCCCTGCCCTCTGTCCTCCGATTCACCATGCCGGGGAGACTGCGTTTTGGCCACCTTGTTTGGTGGGGCGTGCTCTAAGTGGATAAGCCGTAAAACCTGAAAAACCATCCAAGCGCCTTTGCTATCTTTCCAGTGGCCCCTTCTCCCATGTGTTAACCCTGCCTATCTGGGTTGCTCTCTGAGTTGATCTGATAGGAGCACCTCTGTCATCACCAAAACCAAGGCCTTAGGGTACTTGTATGAAAGTGCAGTGTCCGATGCTAATCCCAGAGCTACTGACTCAGTAGGCGTGGGGTGAGGTCTAAACACCTGTGTTGTCAGAAGTGTTGTGGATGACTCCACTTTGAAAAACACTTTTCACAGCATTCCCGAGTCATTTAGTCTCTGTTCCCATTGCACTGATTCCTTCTTATTTATCATGCACATACTCAGAAAATCTAACCTAAGTCATATTTTTTTAGCAAAGGGAAACAACAAAAATTGCACACTTAACAACCAGCGCTGGTGACAAGGTGAAGCATGCAGATGCTCACAAAGCAAAAAACTCAAGCTTAATGCCGTGGTCCGCAAGGCACCGCGTGGAGCCATGGGAAAGGTGGGGAAATTCCAAACCCAGTGACCGGAAGCATCGGATCTAGAGTCAGTGGGGCTGTCCTTTAGCAGGGGGCACAACGTGGAGGCTTCCTTCAAAATCCCAATGCGGGGAGCTCAAAGAAAGGGAAAGACTGACTCAGGTCAGACTGACAGGGCTTCAGAAAGTCTGGAAACTGGAATTCTGGTCCTCCCTTTGAGGGGAGTGATTTTAAGGTCCTCAAAGACAGACCACACCAACATTTTTACCATACAAGCTCAGCGCCAGGACACTGCCTCATGGAGGAGGCACTTGATATATATTTGCGAAATGAATAAAGAAAGACATTTTCTGGGGCCAAGAGGTTATCCAGTGAGTGACCTGGGTCAAATGGGACTAGGCATCAGAGAGAACAGCCTCCCCTACAAGAGCGCGTATCAAAAACAAAACAAACAAACAAAAACAAAAAACCCTAAGCAGTCAGGAATTGAACACAACCGAGTATGGAAGATTTAAAAAACTGGCCTCCCTCAATTTTCCCACTAATGCAAGTGCTCAATTGTTGCACTTATTTTTCTAGCACCCACATCACAGGTATACTTACTGTATTGGAATTTTCTCGCAATTCAGAATCTGTGGACAGAAGGCTCAAGTCACTCAGACAAAGTGAGTGATTTGCATCCTGTGGAAGAGAAAAAACTCTTATTGAATAACAAAAAAGTCAGGATTTATAGTAACATATCTTGTAATAAAACACTTGATTATAATGTTTCAAATATCTAGAGGTAAACCATCCAAACAAAGCAAGGGCTATGTGAATTATTTCAATTTTTAAAATCCTGATATTCTTAGATAACTCTCTTACATTTCTTAAAGACGGTTACTAAAGAGTTTCTTTTTTTAAAGAGTTATTTATTTTTAGAGAGAGGGGAAAGGAGGGAGAGAGGGAGAGAAATATTGATGTGCAAGAGATACACTGGGTTGCGTCTCACACGCTACATTGGGTTGCATCTCGCACGCCCACAACCCAGGCATGTGCCCTGACTGGGTATCCAACTGGTGACCTTTTGGTTCACAGGTCAGCATTCAGTCCACTCAACCGCACCAGCCAGGGCTAGAGTTTTAAGAATTATCTCACAGCTCAAGCACTAGCATAACGAAAGCTATGATAATATATTAAAATGATTGTATAATTGGTCTTATCATTTACAAAGTGATTTCACATTACTCATTTGATATTCATATAAAACTTTGAAGTATTATTTTAGGTTCCCATTATTAATGCGAAGAGTGGCAGTGAACTGTGTAAAATTACATAGCTAATTAGTAGAACACAAACCCAGTGCTTCTAACTCAAAGTCCATCTTCCTTCCATTATATCACTGTGTCCGCAGTATGGGCCTCTCACACACAGGTCCTTCCTTAGAGTGGTTCTGAGATTTACTATTCAAATATGGCTGCCTCGGTTAACTCTGGACTCTGGATTCCTAGAATGCCAGTTGCAATTCACATACTTTACATGGTAACCCTGCTTACCTCATGCATTAGATGTTCCCATGCACTCAACAAATATTCACTGAGCATCTACAATGTCTTAGGCACTGTTCCAGGCCCAGGGATACAATAATGAACAAAACAAAGTCCCTGCGACTACACAGCTCACATTCTAGCGAGGAGTTTGGGGTAAGGGGAAGGGACAAACAAAAATATGTATTTGTACACAAGAGGATGATAAGCTCTATGGAGGGCAAGGGGAATAGGGACTGCTGGGGGGGGGGCCTGCTCTCTTATTAGATTAGGAAAGGGCACTTAGATAAGGCGGCATCTGAGCTGGTACTGAAGGAAAGAGGGCACAGACCATGCACATATCCGGGGAAAGTGCTTCCAGCAGAGGATACAGCAAGTACAAAGGCCTAGGGCAGGAGTGCGTTTCCTTTGTTCAAGGAACCACAAGGACAGCGTGGCTGAAGTGAGAGGAAGAGACGTAAATCAGGTCAGAGAAGTGACCTAAGCCACAGTGTAGGACCTTGGAGGCCACTGTGTAGATCTTGACTTTTACTTTAAGTGATACAAGGAGCTACTGGAGGACTATGAGCAGAGGACAGACATTATCTGCCTTATGGTTTAGAAAGATCACTCTGGGTTATGTAAAAAAATGTCAGGGCAGAGTGAGAGTGGGGAGAAGGGGAAAAGGTGCCAAGGTCACTTAGCAGGTTACTGCAATAATCCAGGCAAAAGATGAGAGTGGCTTGAATGAAGTGACATGAAGAAGTGACCAGATTTTAGATACATTCTCAAGGTAATGCTAATAGGCTTCGCCAGTGAACACAGAGTACGAGGGGAAAAAAAGAGGGCTCAAAAACAATGCACAGATTTTTGGCCTGTGCCACTAGAAAGACAGAGGTGCCATTTAGTAAGATGGGGAGAGCTGCAAGAGGAAGGGGTTTGGACATGTCAAGTTTAAGAAGAGTAGATGGGCCCTGGCGGGTGTGGCTCAGCGGACTGGGCGCCGGCCTGTGGACCGACAGGCTGCTAGGCCAATTCCCAGTCAGGGCACAGGCCTGGGTTGCAGGCCAAGTCCCCAGCTGGGGGCGTGTGAGAGGCGACCGATCTAGGCTTCTCTCACACACTGATGTTTCTCTCCCTCTCTTTCTCTCTCCCCCTTCTCTCTAAAAAGAAAGAAATAATTTTTTTTTAAAGAAGAGTAGATAACTGGGTGGAGATGTCAAGCAGGGGGTGAATATACAAGTCTAAAGCTGAGGAAGAAATCCAGGCTGAATATAAATTAAGGACCCAAAGGCAATCTAGGTGCCATTTAAAGCCGGGGACTAGGGGAGATTCCAGCCACTGAAGAGTGACTAGTGATCAGAGAAGATGAGGTCTGAGCACTGTATGCTGGGGACCTCCAATGCTTAGAGCGGGTCAACAAGTTGAACCGTCCTTGGATCACTGAAAAAGTAAAAAACTGATCATGACTTAATAAATACAGCTTAGCAGACAAAGACTCTCAAATCTTCATATTTATATCTGGTTTTACAGATGAAGAAACTGAGGCACAAAGAAGCCACTTGCTAAGGTCATCTGACGAGTGATTAAGCTTAGATCTGCACCCGGGCAGGGGAGCTCCAGAGGCTGCAGTCTTCCTAACTAATGCTCTTTTGCCTCTTATAACATAGGGATCAAGAACTGGGATCTGGAATCAGACTGCTTGCCTAAATATGACTAATTAGAAACTTTGAATACTTAGGCAAGTAATTTCTCCCTGCCTGGAGTTAACAGTAATATATAATAATAATGGTACTGACCTCACAGAGCTCTTGTGAGATAAAACATTTAAAAGCACTTACTTAGCACAGTACTCAGCACATAGTAAACATTCAGTAAATGTTATTTATTATTACTAATATAAAACATGGGGAGAGTCCTTTTAAAGGTATCCTTTGCTGTTCAAAAATGGCAAACCACAGAATTAAAGTAGGCTGTCTCTCCCCAAATCAAAATCGTATTACATACTCTAAGAACGTCATTATTCAAAAGGGGGTCTGTGTGTTTCTTTACCTATGAAGTAGGAAGATAACAATACTGCTTACTTCCTAGGTTTAAAAGACTTACGGCAAGTATCCAAGACCACATTAGAAGTAATAACAGTACATTTATTCCGAGATCTCACTGGCATGAGTTGTAAGAGAGGGCAACACAGTGGAAGAGTTTGTCAAAGAATAAATGAAACTGTCCAAAACTTTGCAGAGGCTTGTTTTGTGGTTCAGTGCTTTAAACTCGTGGCTCTCAAACCTTTCAGTCTGCAGAAAATTCACAAGGGCAAGAGACAACCCAGACTCTTCCTCAGTCTTCAACGATAGATTAATAGATGTGTGAAGTAAAGCACTGATTCGTGTTCCAAACTCAAGTACAGGTATACCATTTTATAGATATGAATGGGAAAATAAGACCCTTTCAGAACATCTGGCTGGCCCTTTGTAAGCCATTTGGAGACCTCTGGCTTCAAGCCCTCTTCCACCATACCGGGTGGAAAGGCAGTGGAGCTGCATCACAGGCTGAAGCGCACGGAGCCTGGTGAACTTGCTGGCTTCTACCACTCCATCCCCAAGACACAGGTCTTGGCTGATTTCCCCCTCTCACTAACAGATACTTAGAGATATTTTGACCTTTTATTTTGATACATATACAATGGTTGCTGTTCTGTGGTGCCCAGATCAAAACCAGAGACAAAACACTGCACACCTCTGATCCATTGTGAGTCGGAAGTGCATTGTATAAGTGTCCTTTGTTATCGTGACCTTTCATGTGACTTTTGAGACTGTACTGAGTGCTGAATGTTTTCTCACAGCCGTTACTGGGGCAGAAAAAGGGTCGTTCACCTGCAAGAATGACAAGTAGTGTTAATTTTACCATAAAATCATTTCACTGAATTAAGACACCTACTATTCCCTAAAAGAGAGAAGTATTATTATGAGGGTTCAGGTAACAGTTGTTTTAAGTTGGATAAATTATACATTCTCTATCTCAGTCCTAAAACTTAATATAGAGCAAAGCTCTGGGAATGGTATGCTCCTGGGAAGTTTAAAGAGAAAATTAGTTTTTTTCCCCAGGTTTTTTTTTTAGTGTCTTTGTATTGCTTTCATTTCCTAAGGTTGGATTCCTGAGTCCAACCTGTAGATTCTTTTACCTCCGAAAGTCAAACATTACAGGAGAAGACCGAGCTGATTAGGCTCTCCCTCCAGAGAGCTCGACAGGTCTCAACAGCAACATAGATATTTACTGGCTCAATGAAGATTAAAATAGAAAATAAAAATTAACCTACACTCACCAGTATGTGTACGGACGTGAGTTTTAAGGTGGTGGCTTGCTGCAAATGCTTTTCCACAGCCGTCATGATCACACCTAAATAAATGATTTAAGCAAAAAGAAATAGCAGACATCAGCTAATAGACCTTTATCTTCGGCATCTCTTGTAAATACAAAGTCAAACTGAAACAAATGTCCAGAACACCAAGATCACATCAATGAAATTGGTTTCAGACATGAGAATGATGACAGGTCCCTGTGACAAATCTGAGATCAGAGAGAACTAATGGCCCGGGATAAGTATCTCGTCTGACAGGTAAGGCACATGCTGAGAGCACTGATAATAAAAGCTTTTTGATGAATTACTTAACACAATCCTATGGGCAATGAGAGCCCACTGGAAAATCTCCTGCCGGCGCAGTATTAGAAATACCAGCAGCGGGTCCGGGGGCTCGCACAGAGGCATGGAGCCTGAAACATAACACTAGAACGCGGTCAGGACGTGGTCAGGACACGTGGCCGCAATGACTTCTCTATCATCGCCAGTGTTTACGTCAGAGCCACTTCTTCCCTTACTTTCTTGATAACCAAAGGTAGAAGTAATCTTTCCCTCCTCAGAACTCCTAAGACATTTAGGTTTTTTTTAATGGCATCTCTCATTTGTAATCTTGCTTTTATCTTCATTATATACATTTGTTATCTGTTCTCCAAGTCTGTACATTCTTTGAGAGCAGGGTCCATGTAGTTTTTTACATTTGCTGTAAAGCAAGGCATTTGCTTCCTATTTCTATGAATGAATGCTTTTTCTTGTAAGCCAAAATATTTTGTTTCTTTAAATAGAAAGCTTCTCTAAAGCATTTAACTTCCTAATTACATGTAATTATTGTGTTTAAAATCCCATCTAATATTTAAGAAAAATGAGCAGTATTATCACAAAAATGCATATGATTGAATAGAAATCAGAGTCTCCTCAACAGCCCCATGGGAAAAAAGTCACATTAAGGGTCACAGCATCTGGAGAGTAACCAAGTAGACTCTAACTACTTTTGCTCTTAGAGGGAACATGACTCAGAAGTGCAATTGTAATTTTAAAATACAATTACTTTTAATTGGTGTTTAAGAGTTGACTGCCCTTGAAGACTTTTCATTTCCTGATATGCTAATAAGGAAATGAGTGAGTCAAGAAGGGAAAGGTAGCATCTTTAATGCCATGACTATAACAGCAATTTTTCCTGACAATTTGAATTCATTGTTTATGCATAATTTTCAGTAATATATCTGTATTATATGTAGGGGGCAATCCTTACAAACTCATTATCTCACTAAAAAGTCACATAATCATCCCTAAATTGTTTTTGGGTCCCTACTGAATGTCCAGAACATTATTACATGCTATGAACACAGAAGAAAGTAGATGATACAAGGCCTTCCTTCAAGCTTAACCATTTATACTTATATCTATTAAATATGTATGTATATAGATACATAATTTAAAAAATATAAAATATAAAAAATGGATGCTCCTATCTGTTTGTGTGCGCACATGAGATATTACAAAGAAACAACTGAACAAGTAACAAAATAAAATACTTGCACCACTAGACTAAGTATTCCTATCCCTCATTTCCCTTCTTGTCTCCTGCTCTTTCCATCGATTCTCAGGTAGATATCCCTTCCCCTGTGCTAGAGCCCTCTGGGCATCTCAGTCTCAGATACTGCCTGGTTACTTATGGTTCTTTTCCACTGGACAAAATTTTTCAAGAGGAGAACTTGTGTCTTAGTGTTTCCCTATCACTGATAAAAATACCTACCACATAAATGACTTTCATCAAATGCTTCTTCAAAATAAAAGGAGAAATGGGGCAGAAAGCGATCATCCAGGCTGCGGGTGCCCTCGGAATCCACTGCCCTCCCTCCACCCCGCGGGAATGACTTCGAGCTGTCCTGTGGAGAGCTAACACTGCCAAAGAACTAGTGCAGGGAATTTTCTTTCCATTTTGAAAAATTTTAGAGTCATCAAGATACCCAGCTGAAGTCTGGTCAGTAACAAATAGAAAACAGTAAGACCTACCGAAATGGCTTTTCTCCTGTATGGGTTCGAATGTGCTTCCTCAGATCACTGAGTGTGGTGAAGTACTTGCTGCAGCCTTCAGATTCACAGTTAAACGTTTTCCCTGTGTGAAGCCTCTGATGTGCTTTCAGCCTGCAAGATACCCCAGAGAAAGTCCCTCTGTCACAACGGACTGCAGAGCTTCCCCATGTCAGCTGAGTAGGCTTCAGGGCTAAGCACATAAGCCTACGGCCAGTAAAATCTTTTATGAGAGAACAAAGTGATTTTATGTATGGCGAAGTAATTACTAAATACTGATTTAACAAAGAAAAATAATATACACTGGAAATAAAATAATTACATTGGAAGAATGGGCTCTGGGGAAGGGTGACAAGTCTGGTGGAGATGGGGGAGGAGGAAACAGAGCTTCCTTAACTGCCATAGTGGGAAGCCAATACCCTAAAATGGAAAAATCAAGAAGCAATATAAGCCTAATACTTGAAAGCATGGAAGTATAAAAATATTAATATTAAGCTAAAAGCATAGAAAGTGGTTACATGTGAAGGGGGAGAAATGGGGAGGTATGTCTTTTCTAACAAACCTTATAGAACTATCTACTCTGTAAAAATTGATCATTTATAACCTTGTTAAAATTATAAATGATTTTAAATGTTAAATGCCTAAGAATTCAGTATTCATATATATTAGTTCCAAATTTTTTCCTCAAAGAGAAGCATATATAAGCATGACTCTAGAGCCAGACTGCCTGGGACTCAAAGCCTGGTCCCACCTCCGACTGGGTGGGAGACCCTGAGCTATTTACAAAGCCTCTCTGGGCTTCCATTTACTTACTTGTGCTGTTAGCGCTCAGAACGGTGCCCAGCACATACGGAGTGCCTTAAAAGTGTTAGCTATTGTTACATTTGTTATTTTATACCCAAGGTTGAAGACTAGGAAGTCTCCTGTTACCAATGGTGGAAAAGAGAAATGGCTAATGATTGGACCATTCCCCCTTTCTCAGGGTAGAAAGAAATTACTCTTCAAGGTGAGGTAGGAAAGAACATGACAGAAGCCTGACCAAGGTCCTGCGCCAGGGGAGACAGTACCCCATGCTGAATACTCAGATCCCCTGGTCAGCATATAGTAACTACATGAGACACACAATCTAAACACCGAGGTACTATTATTTTCAACCAACCCACTACATGCCAATCTTTAAGTGATAAGTTCCTCTGATGAATTTTAAACAGTTGAGCATAGCTGCACTCTGTTTTAAGTCCTGAGAGTAAGCACCTGCACTGTTCAAGGAGAGAGGGCTCGGCAACCACGACCCGGTCGGGGTCAGAGGCCGGCGGCGCGGCGGGAGAAAGGCTGACCTGTACAGCGTGTTGAACGCCTTCTCACAGCCCTGCACGTCACACTCAAATGGCTTCTCCTTCGTGTGCACTCGCACATGGATCCTGAGGCTGTAGGAGGTGAGGAAGGCCTTGCCACAGCCCTCCTGATTACAGACAAAGGTGTACTCTCCTCGGTGAGTCTTCTGGTGGGTGCGCAGGTTGCCTGCTGTGCTGTAGGTGCGGGGACAGCCCTCAAAGGTGCACTGGTACCGCTTTACCTGGCAGACAGAGGACACCTCAGCAACATGACAAAGAGCCGCCCAGGCTCTAAATCCCCCCAGGGCTTGGCTCCCAGGAGATGTGGGTGATACAAAGACATGGAAAATAACCTCTAACAGCAATTGTGGGGATATCTTCTGTTGAGCAAATAACACCTGGACAACAAATGATGAGTAACAGGCAACACATAGGCTTGCAGGTAGGTGAATAGTTTAAGTGAATATAAAAGGGTGTTTTCAAACTTTAGTATGTATCTATCCTGTAAAGGAGGATATATACTCTTACAGTTACCTATATTGCAATAAAATTTTGACTTCATTTTAATTCAAACATCCTGCCCTACGGCATTATATGTTGACTAGAGCGGACCAATGTTAAATTGAGTCTAACACATCCTAAAATTTATATACTTAGTCACTCATATTAACAGGTATATTATAGCACAGTTCCCACTGAATATTTTTCAAGTCTACACAATGAAAATAATGTACCACAAATTCCTTGGAGTGTGACACTTCTCAAACTGCCTGCCTCTGGGTTTCCTTTCATCACCAAACTTACTGAAAGGGCAGCTACCACTTGTGCCTCCATTTCCCTCAATACCCATGTATCCCTTGCCCCTTGGCAAGCTGGCTTCACTGTACAAAATTATTCCTTTGAACTTTCTGGGGGGTCAAACTCTTTCATCCTCTCCACTTTGCTTCATTATTTGCAAAAATATCTCATGGATGATGCCCACTCCTTCTGAAAATGTGTCCTTCACCACACAGTAATTCCGTGGGGCTCTCTTAGCTTCTCTGAGTCACTCCTTTCTTTAACCTCTAAATGTAGGTTTCTCCCAAAACTTCTCCCTCATCTCCCCAATGTTCCCCATCTCTACACTGGTGCGGAGGAAGCAGCATTAGTCCTGGTGGGAGAAGACTGAGTTCTGGCACTTATGTTTAAGGCTTTGAGCAAGTCATTTTACTTCCCTGAGCTTCAGGTTCTTTATCGCTGAAATGTAAGTATTAATGCCTGCCCTGACAGTCTCACAGTGCTTTTGAGAGGAACAAAAGATGATAAAACATTTGTGAAAATACTTTGTAAATGCTCTTCAGCTTTAGCAAACTTTTTTTTTTTAATTTATTGATTTTACAGAAAGAGAGAGAAAGAGAGGGAGAGAGAGGGAGAGACATTAATTTGTTGTTCCGCTTATTTATGCATTCATCGGTTGTTTTCATGTGCCCTGACCGGGGATCAAACCTGCAACCTTGGCATATTGGGACGATGCTCTAACCAACTGAGCTTCCTGGCCAGGGCCTAGCAACATCTTTATCTTTTAATCCCAATCCTTCTCCAAAGCAAGCTAGATACCACAGATCTGCTTTTAAGGAATGCTCATTTTAAGGAGGCAGACATGCACAAATTTATACACTGCTTTGAGCCTGACAACAGATACGTGCCCAAGGTGCTTGCCAGCATAAAAAAGGACGCCTACCCCATCTCAGAAAGACTAGAAATCAGTGAAGGCTCAGAGACTGAGGTACTCTGAACTGAGGGTGATTTTTCACTTAACCTGTTCAAGTCTATTTTTTTTAGGGTCAAACTGAAAAGATATTCCTCAGACAAGTCAGGAGGAAGAACATTCTAGAAAGAGGCAATACCTTGGGAAATGCATGGAAAGATGAATGAGTTTGCTGGTACAGTTAACCACAACATACCTGTAGTCTGTGAGAGACTAGAAGGAGAAGAATCTAGAAAAATAAGGCAAAACCTCCTTAGTTAAGCTATGGAGTAGAGAAATAGGAGAATGGGGGAGCCATCACACTTCTCGGTTTTAACCAAGACAGCAACACAATCAGATCAGGGTTTAGGAGAGATCATTCCGCTGTCCTTGTGGAGGGTGGGCTGGAGTAGAAGGGCTGGACTGAGAAAAGAGGGACAGCAGTCCAAGAGAGAGGGGAAGGGAATCTGAACTAAGGAAGTAGTGGTGGACAATACGAGAGATGAATCCCAGAGAATTAAAGGGGGAGAGGTGACAGGCTGTAGTGACAACTGGGTGCTGAGGAGTAGAAGGGGTTGGGGAGAGACAAAGTCAAGATCAACCCCCAAGATTATGGCCTGGAGGGCTAAAGAGATGGTCACACTACCAACGTGGGGCTGGTGCAGGGCTGGGCGAGAGATGATGAGTTGGGTTGGAGATGCTGCTAGGACTTTCAGATGGAAATGTCTAGTAGCCAGTCAGACACACAGGCTGGAAGCTAAGAAGAAGGTCTGTGACAGGGGTCTTGGGTACACAGATAATAGCTGACTTTGCCTGCATACTACAGCAGGCTCAGCCCCAGCCCCAGCTGCTACTTGCTGTGTAACCGTGGGAAAACCGCTTAAGCTTACTGAGCCTCTCTTCCCTTAATGATAACACAGAAGAAACAAAAATCTATCATTTTAGGGTTGTTGTTAAGAATTAGGGATAATTTGCGTAAAGCATTTAAACGTAGTGACTGCCATATAGTAGGTACTCAATAAAATAATAGCTCTTACAACAGGACAAAGGCTAGACCCATGAAAGTCACCAATGTTAAACGTCCTGGTAAAAGAAAAGAAGCCACTGATGGGTGATCAGGAGAAAGGGCTGGGGAAAGGGGAAGAGAAGCGAAGGAGAATCACATCACAGAAGGCTTCAGAAAATGGGTCTCTGGGAAAAGAGAATGATCAAAATGTTAAATGTCTAAAAAATAAATAAGCCCTAGCAGGTATGGCTCAGTGGCGAGTGGTGTCCCATAACTGAAGATTTGCAGGATGACTCCCAGTCGGGCACATGCCTAGGTTGCCGGTTCATCCCCAGTTGGGGAGCAGGCATGTGAACCCCAGTCTAGACGTGAGCAATCCCCAGCCCAGGCGCGGGCCCCCGGTCTGGGTGTGTACCCAGGCAACCGATCAGCGCTTCTCTCACACCAGTGTTTCTCTCTCTCCCCTCCTCTCGAAAAAACAAATGAAAATGTCCTCGGGGGAGGAAAAGAATTTTTTTTTAATTAAAATAAAATAAAAAATTAATAGAAATAAATTAAAAAATGTTAAATGTCAGTGAAAACAAGGAGGATAAAGACTGGGGAAACTACTGGATTCAGTAGCTAGAAATTCAGTAATGACTTAGCAAGATTTGTTTTAATATAGTGCTGGGGTCAGAAGTCTGGGTGAAGGTAACTGAATGAAAAGTGAAGTAGAGGAAGAGGCTAGAGATGGAGATCAGCAACAAAAGTGGACTTCCAAGTTGACGAGGTGTTTTTTGTTTTGGTTTTTTGAGTAGGACACGTCTTGAGCATATTTAGGAGGAGAAAAGGTCCTGGAAGAAAGAAGTCGAGGCTCTAAGGAGGAACGTGAAGAGAAGGGTAAAAGCTCAGTAGAGGGAAAGCTTTGGGTAGGAAGAGAGATCCTGAGTTTCAGAGGAGAAAGGAATGAGATCAGGATGGGTGGGACTCACAGGTGGACAAGGTTCCTATAAAGAGCCAGAGAGTGAATGTTTTAGGCTTTGTGGGCCATGCAGTGTCTGTTAAAACGACTCAATTCTGCTGCTACCTGTGAAAGTAGCCATAGGTAATACATACATGGACAAAAAAGGCTGTGCACCAAAAAAACTTTTCATAGGCAATGACATTTGAATTTCATGTCATTTTCATATATCATGAAACCCTGTTCTTATTTTGTATATTAGAAATATCATTTGAAAATGTAAAAACCATTCTACAAAAACAGGCATCTGGATGGATCTGGCCTGTGGGCGATAAGCTTACCAACCCCTAAAACCAGTGGGTGTGGGAAAGGAGCGGCCCTGATCCCTCCCTTCTCTCCTCCCACTCCTCTCTCATCTGTCCAGCCAGCCTTCAGTGGGATCTTGCACAAGTCTTTGGGCTCCTCAGGCAAGTGCTCTCTCACTTATTCATTCCTGGCCCTTCCCACTGCCGCACAGGAGGTGCTCCACAGACATTTGCTGAACTGAGTTATTGGTCCAGTAGTCCTGGTATTCTCGTGTCTCAGTGCCTAGTTCTGAAGCCACTCATTGCCAGATTTATTCTAAAATAGTGTTCCACACAGGCCATAGCTCTACTTAAGTGATAAAGTCCCAGTTCCTTAGCCAGATATTCCAGGTCCTCCCCAGGTCCTCTCCCACCTTCTGTGCGTTCCTCTAGAACAACAGTGGGCTCTGTGTGGGCCTGCAGGCAACAGCACACTTCCCTAGATTTCCACTTGCCTGCATTTGTGTGCTGCTTTTTCTCTACTGGAAATGCCTGGTTCCTCGGTTCCTTTCTTCTCTGCTTTTCTGAGTCTCTCTCTCTTCAATTCAAGCTTCACTACCTACCTCCAAGTCCCTTCATGATCACGCCATGTCTAAGTGACAGTGCCCTTCTCTGAATTCCAATATTTAACCATACCACCGATCGGACACTTAATTTGCATTGTTAATTATCCTTCCACACAGATATCCTGATTTCCCATCAAGAACAAAAATCTCTTTGGTGCTGCCAGATAGAGATTTCATCACTGACCAGGAAGGAGACCTGGGACTGTGGACGCTGCAATAAAGGAGCCTGCATGTCTCAATCACAGAGCTTATGAAAATGACGAATGATAAGGGCAGAATTTCATTCTTAAGATGCTACAGCAGTTGATAACTTTATAGGTAACAGTGCAATGAGTGACAAGCTATCGCGCCCTGTCCAACCCTTTTAACCCTTACTCCCATCCAGGGTTTTTACTTGGCCAATTCAAGCTTCACATCAATGTTCCCTCCTCAAGGAACTCTTTCCTGACTGACTCCCACGCCCACAGCATGCTAGAATAGGTATTTTTATTATAGGTTCTCATAGCTTCCTCTATTTCTTTAAAGTATACAATACCATTAGGATTAAATAATTTCATAAACAATTTACATCATTATCTATTTAGTTGCTAGGCACAGCAGTAGCTAAAAAACAGGAAGCACTTAGTAAGTATTTTTTTAGTTAAAATGAATGAACGGCTA